AGGTAGACTTTGGTTTAGACATAGAGTTTGGGCTTGGGTTTGATGTATTTTTTAATTTAGGTTTGATGCTTTTGGTGTGTTAATTTATGTTAATTTTAAATTTTGTCGGTTTAAATTAATTTTCCTTATGTTAATTAATTTGTTGGTAGTTTAATTTCCTTGTATTAATTTAAGTTAATTTTAATTGATTTTTATTATTTACAAGTCTTGTTTTATTATATTTGGTTCTAGGTTGGTTCAAATTTTATTTTATTTTGTGGGTTTGAATTTAATTTAAGGCTTAATTTCTTATTTCACTTTGGTAGAGTTTAATCATGTTGATTTTCATTAAAATTGATTTTACTGAAATATGGTGACTTTTAGTGAACTTATTAAGATTAATTTGAAGTTAATTCCAATACTCTCAATTTTTTTTGAGTTTGATTGAATTAATTCAGTTGTGATTAATTTTAATAAGTTGATTTTAATATATTTTAATAAGTTAATTTTTTTATACTTAAATTTAATAGATTTATTTTTTTTTGTTGAAATTTATTTCAATTTTGGTTTAAGTTGATTTCAATAGATTTAATTTTTTTAACTTTAATTTATTGGACTTAATTTTAATAGATTTAATTTTTAAAAGAATAGATTTTAGTGGATTTGATTGAAATTGGTTTTAATGAATGTGATTTTTATTGAATTTTTTTTAATGGAGCTAAATTTTGTTGATATTGATTTAAATGAAATTTTGAAATTATAGTTTTGATTTTATTCAATTTTAATTTTAATTTTCATTTTGAACTTTAATTGATGGTTTTTTCTTTTTTATCTTTTCATTTTCAAAGGATAAGTCATATCTTGGCCGAAGGTGGGCCTCATACCAAATGTGCTCTTTTATGAACCAAAGAAGGGGTTACCCAAGGAGTCAGGAAGGGGAAGTGCAAAGTGCCTAAATGGCCTAAGTATATATGGTCAAAGGGTTTCCTAGGGCATTTCCAACCTTATCGGTACTCAACTTATGTTTTAATGACTGAGTTTTAACCAGCTCAACCAAAGGTTAAAGATTTGAAGCCAAGCATATGAAACTCTATGGAGTGAAGAAATATTGGAAATTTTATTTGGTTTCGGTCGCACTTCTAGTCTTCCAAGAGAGTCTTGAAGGAAACCCTAAAGGCTAGACCGCCGACCTTAGAGAGGTGAAGCACAAGAATGACCTCATACAAAAATGATATTAACAGGCCTCAATGATGATCTTCATTCTTTACATAAAAGTTGTAGTCCAAGCGCAAATTTTTCAAAAGAAGCCCATCATGGTGGTAGCCATCTGTGCCTTCAAGGGATCTGTAGAGATGTTGGTAGTTGTTGATTTTCTTCCTCATCACACTCACTCCGTAGTCGATGAACTCTAAGCTTTGGAGGGTTGGGTTATTTGAATGAAATATAAGATTGACTCCTTTGGCTTCCACATCAACCATGTGAAGTAGTGGCAAAATCTCCATTATGACTGGGAAGATAGCAAGTTCATATGGTAGGCATATGCCTTATAGCACCATTTCAAGGGCGATTTACCTATGCGCCCTAGTCCACATCCCTTCACATTTTTCTATGATGCCGACCCAAGTGATACGACGGGAGGAGGTGATGATGATGATAATGATGACACTGATGGTGATGATGCTAATGTGACATAGAAGTAGAGTTTTAGCACTATTTTGTATTTTTTTTTTCACATTGATGTGTGGCCCTATGGGGATTATGTAGTATTTATCATCTTCCTTAATTATCAATGAAAAAAGACATGTTTATATTTAATATTTGTGTCTACATTTCTAAATCAAATGACTTAAAACAAACTAGAGAAATTAATTTTTTTTTGTGAATTTAGACTAGCATTTAGGTGCCCGAAGTATGGCGCAGAGGTGTCGCCTCATCTTTTATGAAGTGAAAGCCTAATCTAGCATCAATGTGTTTGGAGTTGATGTGACATTAGTTATGACACCAGCACTAAGGTGCCCAATGCTAGTGTCACGACTCTTTAGAAGTCATTTTTTTTTTATCTTAAGAAAAATAAAGATCAACCATTTCAAATTTTCATTTTTTAATTGAATTAAATTGGATTTTACATCACCTTCATTCCCCTTGGGATGATATTTGAACTCAATCCATTTATTACTTACATGATACATGCACTTGCAGAAGCCCGTGTTGGATCAGGTCAATGCTCACCACACCCTTGAAAAGATTGAATGATATTTTTTTTTTGTCTGTGGGCTTGCCAAAATTATAGTTACTAGAGAAGGTATTTGAGAGATGTGAAATGGGAAAATATTTGAGAAGAAGAGGAAAATCCTCTATCAGCTCAATAAAAAATAAATTAGTAAATCAAGAGCCAGGAAAGCCTAAATTGAGTAAAATTATGTAAAAACTAGCTTTACTCCCGCAACCTCTTTTTCTTATTTGATGATATGGATTTGAGCACCATAAGAATGGCTAAATAAATTTTTATTAATTTGACAAAGTACAAAAAAAACCTACAAGAAGCTAATAGCCTAAGTAAAGACTTAGATTGATAGCCGTCTATCAGATCTAGAGAAGTCATTGGTTCATTTATAGATGGTCACTGGGTGACCTCATAGGTTTAGGCATTATCCTAACTAAGTTAACCCGACGAGTTTAATGATGTCTTCAAGTGAGTTTTTATGAGCTTAGTGGATTTATCCCTCCACCTTGATTATTGTGGATAAATGTCTTGAATTTGGCTTGGCGAGTCCACTTAGAACCAACTGGTGAGCTCCACTTGAGCTCAACATGGGAATTTACTCTGGGATTTAACAGGCAAAATTGCCTTGAGCTCAACTTGACGACTCTTCCTGGGACCAGACTAATGAGTCTGCCTTGAGCTCGACCAGCGCTCGTGTTCTTATCTTCTGTTTGGGCAATTCCACCCGTTAGGATGTATAACTTCAATTAAGAAGCACTACCTACTCTGATGGTATAATATTTTAAAGTTTAAATGTATTTCAATTTTCAATTGCATCCATGTAACTTCTTTTGTGCTTTTTTCAAATATGAACTTTTGTATAATTTTTTCTTCAGCCAAAGTTTACTTATTATTATTATTATTATTATTATTATTATTATTATTATTATTATTATTATTATTATTATTATTATTATTATTATTATTATTATTATTATTATTATTATTATTATTATTATTATTATTATTATTATTATTATTATTATTATTATTATTATTATCATTTAATTTATCACATTGTAAACCATAAAAAGTAGGAATTCAAGGGATTTATGACTGACAAATGTATTAAATTGTATTAGACTCATCCATAAGGAAAGCAATAGGCATATCAATCCACGTAGCCTTGAGCCTAAACTGGTGGCAATAAGTCTTTCTTTTTCTGCTGTTCTTTTATTCTTTTCTTAAATCAGACAACCTTTTCTTCAATCATGGTGGCTCTGCCCCTTTTTTAGTCGAGTTGGGGTACAGCCCATGATGTTGCCAGCTTTTATTTTCTTTTATTTTTATAATAATTTTTTAATGTTTGAAAAATATGCATAAATTTAATTAAATAAATATTTATAATTATTTTGAGAATTCTCTCATTTAAATTATGCTTTCATTTATTTTAAAAATTCTAGAAAAAAGTTTTTTTTTTTTTTGTTATCTTATGTTGCCCCCAATCAATGCACTCGATGAATAATTTGAACTCAACTCGATCAAAGCTCGATCTTGTTTGTTCTAATTAATAAATAAACAAGCTTGAACAATTTTAAAAGCTTGAAGGTTAAACGAAATGAATATGAATATAATCGAACTTGTTCGTTCATCTTGACGAACAAACTCGTCTGTCGTTCAATAAGTAATTTATTAAATATTCGATATTAAACTTGATAATAACTTGAATTATAAACATGATATATTACTTAAATAAAATTTAATCAGTTAGAGTTTATTTAACTATAGATTTAATAATAATATATTATTATATCAATAATATTTTTAGTTTCATTATTAATTATATATTGATTTTATTGATAAATGAATGATAATTTAAAATGAGATATTTGTGTTATAAAAGATTTTTATTGTAGAGTTTTCATAATCTTAAATATAGTGAGTTCATTTTTTTTGATAATCACACTGCAATTACCAACAACATTAATGTGGATTGCCTTATTGCTATTATTTTCTTATTAATATGATTATGTAAATGATCATCCCTAGAATTTTTAGGATTAATTTAGTTCTTTCACTTACAAAATTTGAACTACTGTAGTCCTACAAATTAGAATGATGTAACTAAATAGTAAACTTTAAAGATTTTAGAGTTCATAATCAACAAATTAATAGCTATGATTAGAATTGCAAAATTATGTAAACTTTAAAGATTTTAGAGTTCATAATCAACAAATTAATAGCTATGATTGGAATTATTATATTTCTTAATATGAAAATCTAGATTCTCGTTTGAATTTTTAGGTAGTTTAAATATCCGTTCAATTGTAAGAAATAAATCAAGTACAAATCAAGTTCAAATATTGAAAAAGTTAAACAAATCAAATTTGAACAACGTATGAAAACTTAGGTTTAAATATCCGTTCAATTGTAAGAAATAAATCAAACACAAATCAAGTTCAAACATTGAAAAAGTTAAACAAATCAAACTTGAACAACGTATGAAAGCTCAACACAAGTTTAAGCTGAACATGAACAACTTATAATTCTAATAAGCTAAGTTCAAACAATGATATAGTCGACTCAGCTCGGCCTAACAAGTTAAGTTCAAACAATGATATACTCGACTTGGCTCGGCTCGATTCAAACAATGATATACTCGACTTGGCTCGGCTCGCTTACGATTCTCCCTACCTGTTCACTAATTAATACTTATCTTATATTTTTATATAATACACCACAAAGAGCAAAATTATTATTACAATTATTGCAGTTAATATGAAGGCTGTTCCCTGCTTACATCATTAATCAATTAAAAAATGAGTAAAAAACTTCCTTAGTCTTCTCTTAGACTTTCTATTAGCTTATCGGTCTCGTCTGCCACCGTCTCCTTCTTCCATTGAAAACTACCCACGCTTCAGAGAGAAAGCCATGGAGTCTTTCCCATGATTTATTACAGCCTTTCTAAACCAGGAATTAATTGATCTCCCATTCTCGCACATGTGAAATCCACACACTGTTCTGTAACAGCTGCCATGATTAGAGGGCAAGGACCCCCTTTTCTCTCGCTCAATCGTTCATTTATAACAGGGAGATTTATCCATGATTTCTGATACCGTTTTGTGTCAGAAAGAAGGAGGATCTGGTCATGGCTTCTTTTGTTTTGATTTCTGTAGCCAGCAAATAATTTGGTATTCTCGGCTAACTTCCATCTCTCCAAGGGCGCTGCTGAACTAAAATGGCAGAAGAAAAGCTGCCAAATTTGGCTGAAGAAATAAATGCGGTCAGCGCATATCCGATGTACTTCGGTGTTTCGTGTGCTTTCATTGCTCTACAGTTCCTGTCCGCCATGGACGGACCAAGTGCGGAGCTTGGCCGGCAAAAGGACTGTTTCGAAGAGATTATGCTTCGAGGCAGCGCGCAGCTTTTGGGGTTGCTTTTTGAGAAGGTGCAGAGAAGGCATGAACAACTTTTCGAGAATGAGAGGAAGGCCGTGTTGGAGGTCATGGAGCTGAAGCAGATTCGTGCGGAGGATGCCAAGGCTAACGAGAAGGTCATGTCCATCTTTGCAGCTCGGGAACAGGGCTGGCAAGCGGAAAGGAGGCGACTTTTGAATCAGATCCAGTCTCTCTCTCGCGAACTGTCTCTTGACAAATTGAGGAATGAAAAGGTCATCTGTGATCTGAAGAAGAGAGTTTTAGAGGAGCAGCAGGCGATGAAAATCAAAGATAGAGGTTTTGAAGAAGAGGCAAAAAAGAGGATGGATTTGGAAGAAAAGCTGCGAGCTGCGCAGAAAGCAGTGGAGGAGTTGAGGGAGAAAGCGCACAAGGAAGTGGAGGATCACGTGTTAGAACTCAGAAGGCAAAAGACAGCAGTCATGGAGCTGGTTTCTAACAAGAGGCAGCTCGAAGTGGAGCTGGAACGTTTGCTTCGTCAAGCTGATACTGCAAAACAAGAGCTTGAGGAAGTTTTTGAGCAGAAGGAGGAGGCCGCCGCAATGTTGGAGAAGCTTTCGGAGGAGTTTGTTAAAGTTCAGAAGGATGCAGAGCAGAAAGGGAAGATTGTTTCAGCCATGCTTAGGAAAGCGAAGCACGACACTGCTGAAAAACAGGCGCTTTTGAAGGAGCTCAAGATAACGAGGGCGAAGAAGAAGCAAGCAGAGCTGGAAGCTGAGAGGTGGAAGAGCGCCTGTGAAGCTAAACAGAAGAAGAGCTCACGGGAAATGCATTCAGCTGAAGCCGGGAGTTCACGGAATAGAGTTCCAGAATTAAAATCAAGCAGCAAGATTGACCTGAGAACTCGTTTACTTGATTACTTGACCACAGAGAACATTAGCCAGCATGAATTTCCCATGGAGAAGGTGGATAGACTAAACAAACCAATGGAGTTTCAGGTTCAGTACTTGGATGAAAGTGATGATAATCTTGGTAAGCCTTTCGTTCTTGCTTCTTTTCATTCATGGTGCCAATTAAACTCTTTTTATGAACGTTACCCTGCAGATAATGTTCAAGAACTGCAAGATTGGGTTCAGCTGGAAGCTAAAAAATACACAGATGTGCTGGAACAGAAGCATTTTTGGGAGATGGAAGCATTTTTAGAGCAGTTGAGATTAAGAGATGAGAAGCTGGAGGCTTTGCACTGGCGACTTCTAAGCACGGAGCTGGACTCAAAGAGGCTGCAATCTCACATTGAAGGGCTTGATGGGAATCTTACACAGCTAAGGGATGAGAATCATAAATTGGAAGCTCTGCTGATGGATAGGGAAAGTGAATTGAAATCACTGAAAGAGAGATTTTGCTTTCATGGCAAACATTTTCAGGGGAGCAGCTCCCTCCCCGATTCTGAATGCATTTTGCCTCACTCTTTTGATTCATTAATGAAGGTGGCAACGAGGGAATTTAAAAAAGATCAAAGTTTGTATGAAGTTGAGAAAAATATTCAGGAAGAGGGTGAAATGAAGGATGTGGAGGAAATTGTATTGCTAAGAAAGGGCCGAATTAGAACTGATGTAGAAACAACAATTTGTAATGTATCATTTCCATCTACCGGCCTTTCCGAGGATCGATCAAATGATGAAATTTTATATGAAGATCAAACAGTAGGGAGGGAGGTTGAGATGGGTCTCATTCATTCCCATATAAGGCACAATTCCCTAGAAGATGCATTTGTAACAATATCCAGTAAATTAGCTTCTGATGGAAAGCCTTATTTAAAGATGGACTTACAAGCTCTTGGAGTTTCCTTCAAGATCAAAAGACTAAAGCAGCAACTTTTAATACTCGAAAACTTAGCCGGAACACGATCTAGTGATCATGAAACTGACAAATCTGATTCAACTGATGGTACTGATGAGAAGAAGGTCGAGTTAAAAGGTTTAATCTTAGTGATTTCGTTACTGGACAAGCAACTGAGGAGGTATCAATCTCTTGAAGACAAGATTGATGCCTTATCCAGAAGGATGGTAGGAAATCTCAAGCATTTCTTCTCTACGTTTTAGGTAAGTATTACACAATTTAACTCTTTTTGTTACATGATATTTTTCAGCTTGAGAATTCTGGGATTGGTGCCAGTCAACTTCCTGTAGATGCTGGAACCAAAAAGAAAATTGACAAGCTTGAGCAATTTCTTGAAGAGACTTTTCAGCTGCAAAGATACATGGTTGCTACTGGGCAGAAGTTCATGGAGTTGCAGTCCAAGATTAATAGCTGCCATGCAGGTGCTGAGGGACAAGAGGAATCAGCTGGATTTAACCTTGAACAGTTCTTAGATGTTGTTAGGACTCTATTCAAAGAAGTGCAGAGGGGACTGGAGGTCAGAATAGCTCGAATTATCGGCGACCTCGAGGGAACTTTAGCTAGTGATGGCATCCTGAGAAGATGATAATGATACTCTTCGGTGTGATTGCATACTCTAGATTTATAACTGTATTATTTACATTATTTATAATAGTAAGTAGTAAATAACATATACATAATGGATTTCATGACTACATTCCTACTTATCATGTTGGTTTTCCCCTGGTATTTTGCAAAGGGAATTCCAATCTCTGAGAGGAGACTAATCCACCTGCCACTCACTTTTTGTTGCTTGTATTTTTCTGTGTCTGTAGAGAGCTTTCTTTATTATGAGTGATTTTTGAGCAAGTTTTCATCATTTTGTTATCAGTAAAATCATGAAAATCGACCGAACTGCCAGTTAATTCTGAAGCACAAAGCTGCATAGGTGAATATTTTCATATTTCCAGAACGAACAAGGATTATATGTAATATGAGTCATTTATTTGTTCTATTTTCCTCTTCACTACTTAAGCTGGCACTGACTGACTTAATAGTTTGGGAGATGTCTAGAAGCAGAGATATGAAAACTAGTTGTACTTTTTACCATGCAACTTGTTGAGGATCCAGGGCAAAGAAAACGCAAGAATCATCGAAATCAAGAAGAAAACACATATATTTAACGAGGTTCGGCAATTTGCCTACGTTGTCGGGAGCAGAGAGATGACTTCTTTTGATTTCACTAAAAAATAGTAAAATACAATATAGCATATATATATATATATATAACTTTGGTGTACAATATGTAATTGGAAAAATCACTCATGTACCATATCGCTGGGGTGCTGCCCTTGCACCCCCAACCCACATAACGAACTTTCCCCCCCGGTTCCGCTCCAGTATCGGTCCCTTATATGTTATATGAATCATACCTAACACAACTACTAAGAGGAAATTCTGCGATGATGTATTTATTAACATCTTTCCCAATTGCATGAATTTTTATGAAGTTTCATTATTTAAATAAGATATAAAGTAGTATTATATCAGTTTTTCAACTTTCAATGCACAAATTGATGCTATAGGGCTGTATGAGGGCATCTTTATTGGTTTCATTCATTCAATGTGGGGGGCTTTCAAGTTAACATGTCTTGAAAGGTTTTTATGACATAATTACTTTGCTTTTGTTGTCAGAATATTATAAAAACTGTTGCATCTCTATTTTTTAAGAGTAATAAATGATAAATTGTTCAATGTCTGGCTCTGACTTTGAATATACAATCATATAAACTTTCTTACGAATCAAATTTTGGGACTAGCAGGTAATAAATGTTTCAATTGTTTAATCGAACAGCCCCTGTTTTTCTACTGCCTACTTTCTAATCATAACAAATGCATAAAACACATGTGCGAAATGAAGCTTAAGAAGCATGCTTCTAATGTTCTGTTTCATGGCCATGGCTTCATTTGATTCTTATCATTTTTATATCTCATTAGATAGAATTCCTTGAACAAAATGAGTAAATAATCTGCGTGTGGAAAAAGTTGTGAACCACTCCTCTTGTAATCCTTAGCACAATCCAAAGTTGTTCTATAGTTTTTGTAGCTTAATTAAAGTAGATAATCTTTTTCCAATCAATATATTGAAACTTTACTATTTGGCGAATTAATTAATTTTGTAAGGAACGGTGTCATAATGGTGTTGGCCTTGGAACTAATAATTAATTCTCACAATTATTATTTATTTAATTAATATGCATTTTAATACATGCAATTTTCAACATTATATTTTTTTGACCAAGTGAATCAAATTCTTTTTGCACACCTACTGATCCCCTTGGAGATGTAGTGGCCGCAATCAATGAAAGCAACCATATGATAGTTGTCATAAAAGACAATTGGTTAGAGGTACTCACCCAAATCTCAACACGATATCGAGGGATCAATCTGCAATCGGGACCCAAATTCAGACCCTAGAGTTAGATGATTTCTACTCTCTTCTCTATAGTGAGGAGATTAATGTTGCAAATGAGAATCTAAAACTTGAAAATCTATCCCAATGCCACGATAGACAGTCAAGAATCTAAGTGAAGCTATGGTAAATATACCAGTGGTTGGGGAAGATGGTCATCACCTCAAACAACTATGTGACGAGGAGTCCGCAACAACAACCGACCAACAGTCACATCTTAGATTTGTAACAAAGTTGGGCATTATGTTGCTACTTGCTGGCGCCAAACCAATTTGGACTACAAACCTTCCACAAATCAGGCTCTACGCCACCAAACCTAACTACATCCTTGATTTCAGAGAAACTGCCCATATGACAGTAGATCTAAACCACTTCAAACAATAACACAAATAGATGGATCTGAACAAGTCCTTGTGGGCAACGATCAACAGATAGATGTGGTCCATACCGACAATGACATTCTACCGACTCCCACTTGTAAGCCCAACTTACCTCAAATTTGGCAGGCTCCCACCTATTCCACAACTTACTCTAGGTTCACAAGCTAACACGTGATAATCATGTATCTACTCTTTTTTATGCTTCCTGATTTACAATTTGTTGTCCACAAACACACAAAGTTCTTCTGGCACGCAACTCCAATGTGCTATATCCTCTCAACGCCACCTCATTGAAGCTCTCACCTTATCATGTCTTTAATAGCTCTCTCATCTCATCTGCAACATGACATAGACGTCAAGGATACCTGCATCATGACGTTCTCAAGTGTATTAGAAAATTATATCCTACTTTAGGCATTTTGTCCACTCTAAAACCAAGTAATAGTTACAATGTTAGTAAAAGTCACAAACAACCCTTTCAGAGTGCCTCTTTAGGTAAGTATGGCCGTCTTCAACTTATACACACTGATTTATGGGCTTCATCCCCTCTTATATCTCATTAAGGTTTTCGGTATTACGTTTTTGTGAGTGATGATTTCTCAAATTTTTGTTGGGTTTTTCCTTTTGTTGCAAAATGGAATATGAGTACTAAATGCATAAGGTTTATAAACATGATTAAAAACCAACTCAAGACCACCATAACTTACCTAAGAATTGATGGTGGAGGGGAATTTGGCATTACTCATCAAATATCATATCCCTACACCACAGAAGAAAATGGGGTTGCCGAACACAAACATCATCATATGATTGAAACAACCTGAGCTCTTTTACCGAATGCATCTCTTCCGTACCAATTTTGGGTGGACACACTTCTCACCGCTACATACCTTATTAATCGAATGCCTTCCAGAAACACCCAAAATGTATCCTCATGTGAACTACTGTATCAATCCAAACCTACATATCCCCATCTTAAAGCATTTGGTTGTGTATGCTACTCGGGGATGAAGCCAAAAGCGGTACATAAATTAGCTCCACGATCCACCTACTACACTTTCTTGGTGTACTCACCCAATCATAAAGGTTAGAAGTGCCTGCATCAATAAACAAGTAAGATAATTTCTCTCGACATGTCACATTCAATGAATGATCATATCCCTTTGCTCCCCAAATGAAAACAATCTCTTCCACGAACACAACAACTATTACCAATCCTCTACTTCTTATTCTCGTGCTTCCTACTTATTTGTCAACCTTCCAAACCAACACATAATTGGTATCCACTTCACCACCAACTACTTCCCTACAAGAGCAATCTGAACCAACTTACTCCTCACTTCCTCTTCCTGTACACTAACCTTTAAATTCAACAACTATGCCCTCCTCTCCACTTCAAACCATGATACCTTCGTCTCATCCCATGCAAACAAGGACTAAGACAGGTAACCTGAAACTTTTCCACCACTTGAATTTATTTCACCAGCTCGAGCAACCTCTCGATCACTCTAACTATTCCTAAGCAGTAAAATTTTCCCGCTAAAGAAAGCCATGAATGAGAAATTTCATGCTCTACAAGTCCAAGCCACTTAAGAATTGGTACCATTACTAGCTAACCAACCAACATTGGGATGTGGGTGGACTTATTGCACCAAAGTTAACTTTGATGGCTCGATGGCCTATTATAAGGCTTAGTTAGTTGCCAAAGGATATAAAAAAGAGTTGGGAGTCAATTATCACGACACCTTTATTCCAGTTGCAAAAATTCCCACTTTCTGCATGTTATTCACTATAACATTTCATAAATAGTGGCCTATTTTTCAGCTTGATGTATCGAACGTGTTTCTTCATGGGGTTTTAGATGAAATGGTTTATATGCATCAACCCATTGGATTCATTGATCTGCAACCCCAACAATATGTGTGTTTACTCAAAAAAGGCACTCTATCTCCACATTCCTCACCAATGGTTTACCACTCTCTCCACATTCCTCATAGAAATCGGGTTCAAATTCAACAAAGTTGATCCATCCTTGCTCATTTCCAAACAATCTACTCACAACATATATATTCTTCTCTACGTTGGCAACATTCTGATTACATGAGAATGTGACACAATGATGGTAGAGCTGAAAACAAAAATTCACTCCAGATTTTAGGTAAAAAACTTGGGACGGGTCTCTAGATATCTGGGAATTGAAATTCACACGAATTCCTTTCTTTTCTTGAGCTAACAAAGGTATCTTCAACAACTTCTCTAAACCGCAGGTATGCAGAGATGGAAGGCGATGCCTAGACCACTGCCATTAAATTTTTGCCAATAATCGATAGATACACATCAACTAGAAGAGCCCACAACTTATAAATAACTGACCGGTTCACCACAATACCTCACAATAACAAGATCGAACATCTCATTTTTTGTCAATTAGCTCTACCAACGCATGCACGATCCTACTAAAAACCACAATCTCTTACTTAATTGTGTATTTTGGTACTTATAGGGTACAACAGATCATGGCATACTCATTACATCTGCTGATATCAAACTACAATCCTTCTTGAATTTTGATTGGGCGGCCGACTCTACAAGTCGCCGGTCTACCACTTGCTATTGTCCATAATTGGGTACCACACTGATCTTGTGGACGGTTAAAAAGCAACATACAATTGTTAGGATTTTACGAAGGCTGAGTACAATGCCCTCGAAATCGTGACAACTAATGTCATATGGCTAAGATGACTCTACAAGATTTTGATATCCCTTAATTACTACCTAGTAAACTCTATTGCAGCAATCTCTCTGCCATGGACATTACTAAGAACCCGACTACACTCACACGAAACTTATGAAAACTATTTAC